ACTGGCGATCTTTTAAGAAACGAATCACGGAAAAACAGATTAACAGAATCATATTATACTGTGGTATCAAACATTTTTCAAGTATTGCAACCATTGCAACTGACGGCCACTCTTTCACCATTTGAAAACTATTGCTATCAATAGTCACAAGTAGCTCAGAGGTAAGGTAAGATGCTCAAAAGTCGAAGGACCCAGGTTCGAGACCCACCCAGGCTATAAAAATTTTATCCAGTAATTTTTTCAAAATTTGTTTTTATGAACTATTTAATCAATTTAATCAACTGATAATTGTGCTTTTCATACTAAATCTTTATTATTTTGTGTTTTTATGTTTAGGCCCCATGGGATGTTTGGAAGTTATATTAAATACATTTTTTATTTAAATATTATTCACTCAAATATATTATTGGAACATATTTTTTTAATATTTAATAGATTCAAAAACATATTTTTTATATATTTAATATATTTTAAATATTATATAAAATTGACATTAATACACACTTGAGATGTATAAAATAGATTTTAAATATATTTATTCATATGTATTTAATATATATTTGTGCTACTAGGGTCACCTTCTTTTGGAGCGGTAAAATGTCCTGAATTCCTGAGCAGTTTCCCCACAGTATTAAACCGTATCGAATGATAGATTCAAAAAAGGCAAAGTACGCACTTCTGATGTAATTTTTAGGAATAATGTTGATAAGGTGTCTCATAAGATATATTACTCTTGATAGTCTTGTACTAATGTAATCTATATGTGAGCTCCAAGTTAAATGATTGTCTACATAAATACCCAGGAATTTAGCATTTGGGACTAAATCAAGATAAAAATTATTTGGGGTGTTTTTTTTAACTAAAAAGCAAATTTTGTGTTTTATCTGTGTTGAGCAAAAGTCCATTGCATTGAAACCAATCAGAAGCCTGAGACATTGTTTTTGTGACTAATTTATTTAGATCATTAATATTGTTATTAGAATTAAAGAAGGTTGTATCATCTGCATAAAGTGTAATATTATAATCTACCGCAAATGGTAAGTCATTTACATAAATTAGAAAAAGGAGAGGCCCTAGGACTAAACCCTGTGGAACGCCCCACATCTAGAACGTCCCATCTTACTGTAACCACATTTGACCATTGTCCATTAACCAGCACAGTTTGCTTCCGATTACTAAGATATGATTGAAAGAAATCTAGTGTTACCCCTCGGAATCCATAATAATTTATTTTGTGTTTAATTTATCTTGATCCACGCAATCAAATGCTTTGCTAAGGTCGCATAATGTGACCTGAGCTAAATCTTTATTTTCAAATGCCGATATCATTTTTCTTACTAAGCTATCTAGAGCATCAACCGTGGATTTATTCCTTCTAAAACCAAACTGATGGTTACTCAATATATTGTTGTTTTCTAGAAAAGTATAAATTTGATCATAAATTAATATTTCTATTAGTTTTCTAATAACAGGTATGACCGATAGTGGTCGATAACTGTTTGGTTGGTCTTTTGGACCTCTTTTGTAGATGGGACGGACTCTAGAAATTTTAAGAATTTTTGGAAAAATCCCTTTATTTAACAGGCAGTTTATACAGTAGGCAAGAGGCTCTGCCAAACTATGTACTATGTTTTTCAATAAATTATTTGATAGTTTTCCATATATACAAAACTACTCAATTTCTAAAACTTCTATCATTTCATAATGAAATTTTATGACTAAAAAAAAAACTTGAACAAGTAATGTTTCAAATCCAAAAAACTTTACAAACCATTGTGGTAGCAGACGTAGCAGTGTAAAACTGTAGGGATATAAAATAAGCCTCAGAGTACAAATTAGTATAGAAAAAATATTTTATTACAAAATAGTGAAATTAAAATACTTTTAGAAGTTAAGATCAACATTTTAACTTTCATAAAACTTACAACTAGGGAAGGCCTAAACAAGTTTGTAATGATGAAATATTAATTTTAATGTCAGTGTTGTGAATAATATTATTCTAGTCTAGAAAAGAATAAACCTAAAATAAGACTCGTATAAAATAAAAACGTTCAACTTGGTTGATAATAAACAAACTTATACATACAATAAAAATGTTAACCTTCATCTTCATCAAACTAGAACTTAGACAAAAATAAAACTTATAGTGAAAGTCAAACATCAATTTTAGGTTATGTTTTATCCACGTAGATCTGTTTAAGAGTGATTAGTTGATTCATTTTTGTTAATCCTTAACTAGGAATGATAAATAACTTGTGTAGATTTTTAAATTTATTCAGAGAATAAATATTCCATTTAGGTTATTAAAAAATAAGAGTTTTAAAGGTAATACCGATACACAAAACCTATCTTTAATGTTATTTTAATCTGCTTATTAGCAAGTACTCTGGTCAGTTAGCCTGCTCCAAATACCACGAAAAAGGTATAAAATATATTTCATGTGACTGACACCAAAAATATTTTTGAATTTCTTGTAAACACTAACAAAAAACATATTTGAACAGAAGAGCTACATTGCTTGCACTTTCAAAATTCAAACTCGCAGTCTCGCAGACGAATCATTCGGAATCCTCAACACATGACAGGATCAAGGTAGCCAACATACGTCCAATAAGGAACAAAATTTCTCGTAAACGAAATTCCAACAAGCTATACCGCTAATTGATTATTGATTTCTTAAAATAATGCGTGTTTAGCCTTGTTTAATCCAAGTTAAATGAAATCAAAGAAGCGTCAAGTTTATTCGTCCAAGTCAAAGAAATTTTTATCTTTGATGGATTTTCGCAAATATTTAAATTTTGTTTAGTTTAAAAATATATTTTTCTTGTATCTGACTTCCCAACTGTCCCAACTCGTGGCAAGGAAATTCCCAACTTTTCTCTTTTCAGATTCTAGGGGGGGGAGGCTCCCCCCCTACCCCCCCCCCCAAGGTGACGCCCCTGAACTGCACATTTTTTCATGTTATTAACATTTACCCCTCCACTTTTCTATCTACTTACTTTGATGTTTTCTCTCAGCAATTCAATCATTGCATCACCCACTTTGGAAACAAAATTTTAAATACTGTAAGTAGCTCAATCTTGTGTAAGAGTTTCCCATCGCCAAAAGACACACTAACTAATGTCACTGCTAACTTTTCCTTAACTGGCACTGCTTACCAATAGTTCAAGTCCCGTTTGGACGGTGACACAAAATTTGATTATGTTAAGTTATTCAAAGTCAAAACTCGCCTCCCCATTTGTAGGAGAAGGGAGAAGGGAGGTCAAAGGGGGTATGTTCGATAGTGTTACAGGGGTCCGTACAAGCCACCGATCCAGACATCAGGCTGAGCAGAGAGACGAGCGCTCTGGAGGCGGTTTTTTGGCAAAAGATCAAAGAAAAGATCGGTCTGATGTACAGAGTAATGTACGATAGTGTGTCACGATTTATTTTTGCCCCGTACGTTGTCGCCAGCGCCGCACCGAGCGGCCGCCTGCGCTAGCGTTGATGGTTCTAATTTAATACGGCAATTAAACTCTTTAATTGGTCAAATAAATAAATGTTGGGTAATATTTTGCCGATATATATTATGGACATTTATGTTGTAATTTTGTGGTTTGTTTGATAAGTTGAAACACTTAAATTGATGATATCAATAATGTTAAACTTAAATTAAGTAATTGATGTTATACTTAAATTCTTTCAAAATAATATAAACATTAATATTATTAAAGGAAATTAAAATTATCATTCTGTATCGTGTTATTTCATATTAAATTACTGTTTTATTACTAGGCCTACTGCCTCCGCGCTCTCACTCACACACGCTCTTCATCTCTATCTAAACTCCCTTTTGTCGTGCTTGGTAAAACTCGGCTGGTCTTGGTCTTGTTCGGGGAAATGTTCGGATTAAAATTTTGGTGATATTTACCTACCTTCTCCCTTCTGCCTGCTCAGGGTCATCTCTTCAGGGTCTTGATCGGGGAAAAGATCGTAGATCGATAATGTTTCACCGCCTTTAAGAGAAGGCTTAACCCAGAATATTCTTGGTTTCCTCTGCTCCGCTAAAATCAAACAGGCAGCGGCAGCAAGAAACACCTTCTGCTCATTTAAAATTGTCAAGGGAACTGACGTGGAAGCATGAATGTGAAAGTGGCAAAATGTTAATAAGAAAAGTGTGTCCATTTAGTAGTCCTCTACGAAATACCCGCCACCATACCATCAGAAAAATCATAGCTGATCAATTCAGAAAGAAAAGTTACGAGGTCTATGAAGAGGTCACGGCTATAGAAGAAGAGGGCTCTGTGAGGCGGAGTGACATCATTGTTATAGACAAGGAGAAAGATTTCGGTCTCATTATAGACCCAACAGTTCGTCTTGAGACAATGAAAATCAGCCACAGGAAATCCATGAAGAAAAAGTAAATATTTATAAGAAATAAACTATCCCCTATTATTCGGAGAAATATAAAATATCTAAATTTGACGTATATGGACTATACTCATTGGATCAAGAGGAACAATTCCTCAACAAGTTGAGAAATTTTGGAAGAAATTCAATTTGGAAAATCAAGTGCTATATTTAATATCTTTAACAGCCATAAAATTTTCTATTAATATTATAAGAAACCACCTATATAACAATTATCATAATTAGGTTTAAACAAACTTGCAAATTTCAATGTAATATTATTCTTTGTTCTACAGCAGACTACAATGTGTAGTAAGATTTCAATTTTTAAAATAAATTTGAATTTATATATACAATTTACAAGCCAAAAAAAATATTTTAATAAAATTTGTTAATAACACCGGTGTAAACACGGCTTAACTTGTAGTAACTTAGTCAATCTGTTGGGAATGAGCTGGTCTAGTGGTTGGGCAATAAAGTAGTTCAGTCTGTTATCTATAACTGTAAGGTGCTGTAACTCGGCGGATTACCTGCTGAATGTAGTCGATAACAGGGGGGACTTAAGTATTTAGGAGTACTAATAACAATAAACAGCAATGTGTGTTTTTCAGATACCAAAGATAAATTGATGAACGCCATGATAAAAATTAAAACCCTTTCCCTAAGAGTTCGATCAAGCCTCAAAGGTAAGTAATTTTTCTACTAACTTTACAGTACAGTACTAGACTTTCAATGAACTCCCATGAAATCAAAGCTAGCTAGTTCAAATCTGAAAAACCAGCACTGTGCTTCCTTTAGCAATGACCCCTGTTTTTGTTGTTATTGACCTATGTTGAATTTAAGCTAGTTCAAAATTTAAGTGGTTTTAGGGAAAAAATTCCATCCCATCCACCTCGGGTCGCCGGAATTCTACCCCCGGACATTTACCCCCATGAAGAAACGCCTACGTCATTTTGACGTCATGAGGGGCGGGGCCTATACACAGTCGAGAAAACGCCCGCGACTGGAAATCTACCCCCGGACATCTACCCCCGGAAATCTACCCCCGTGGTCAGCTACGCTACGTATCGGCCAAGGTGCATTGTTGTAATTGATTTCATTAATTGGTTTATGTAAATCAACGGCTCTTCGGTTATTCATTAGCTTATTATACAAATTAAAATGTTTTTTGTAAAACGAAAACTCAAAAAATACTTTATTCTTCTTGGGCAATAATATACCCCAAGTACTTGCCAACACAACAATCAACACAACAGGTGTGTCACCAAAACGATGATATCATCAAAAATAGTTAAAAGTAAATAATAAAAAAGCATTCATAATAGCATATTTAGAAAAAAAATATTGATTTCAGAATACCTAGTTTTTTTAAACTGCAGAATCTTGTAGTTGTTTTAATCCCAATAACATAAGATAAATGTTATTTGTTATAACCTTATTTAGCTACGTAAATCAAATATACCAAATACTGTACCTATTCGATCAGTGGTCGTTTCCAAATTGCGATTTAAATGTTAACTAGTGACATCGATCTCTGTAGTAATATAGATCGATGACTAATAGTCATCATTAGAATTTAACTCTTTGTACTGTGTTTAGGTCGTGGCTTGATTTTAACATGTGCTTTGATTCTCTGTTTTGTTTACATTTACGTCGTTATTATGTAAGCACCAGGGCAACCCATAAGTCCAATGTTAAAATACAGAAAAACTTAGGGTTACTTTTAATTATATAGGCAGTATTATAAATTTAAGTTAGTTTTGTCTAAACCTTCCAAACATTTGACAAAGCAACCTTGGTAAGTTTGGCTAAAATATGTTCAGCCATTATTGTGTTAATGTGTTAGAAAGTTTGCATTGAAGTCGTTCCCAAAGAGTGTCGCTTCGCTCCGCTCATTACTAAATGGACTAATTAATTTTATTCACATTTCTTCAGAGAATTTTCTCAAACGTTCAAATAATCCTTCAGAATGACAGCTGGGGGTTCTACCTAATGATAAAGAGAAAATGATCAGTATGGAACATAATTAAAACTTGTACGCGATATGGTGGAAGACCAAATTACATTTTCTTACCCCCAAGTACACTGTAACCTTTCCCGAGAGGCAGCGTAGGTGTTCAAATAGTTTCAACCCTTCAAATAGTTAGCGAAATGATAAAGAGTGACGTTTCCTCTCAAGACTATCTGTTTCTTTCAAGGAGGTCATTGGGAAAATCTACCAAACCAGAAACCAAAACCAGCCATATCGGACTATTAGAAGAGGGGGTGTGTTTTATATTTTTATATAGGTCTTTAAAAATTTGTAATATTGTTATTTTTTATATTTTTTGTCATTGCAACTTCTGATTTAGCTCGAAAAAATAAGTATTTTGATTTATTGATGATTGTTCGTTACTGAGGTATTGAGAGGTAAAAACTTTACGGTGTCCCAATTTTATTCGTCCTATTGGTAATCAATAAAATTAGTTATTTCTTGACACATCTTAATTAAACTCGGCATGTTACTTTATCTAGATAAGATATTCTGTATACTACCTTAAAAAGCTTCATTCAACATTTTATTGGCAGGAAACTTGCATATTCACTTCCTGTATGTTATTCTTATGAATGGATATTTTGAATACTTATTTATGGACATAAGTTGATAAAATTCATTGTTGTAGCCCCGGAACTGTAATATATAAAATATCTGGTTTTACAATACCTTTATCAGTTCCAAAAGTAACTTTCGTCAACAACAGAACAAATCTGTTCAGCTGACCACAACAGATAACGAAGATAATTCAACCAGATAGCGCTGACTTGAACCCTCCACCGACAGTCTGTTCCCGCTCGTGTACCGGCAATGTTGCATATTCATGATAGGCCTATCAAATTACAAGTATTTATTTTTATTTTTATGTCGTACGTGTCGTGTAAAAATGTTGTATGTCGTGCAATGTGTTGTAACGAAGCTATTCAAGCAGATCTACATCTTCCTGTATTGAAGTGTTTGACAATGTCAGCTCGCCGAAACATGTAACACACGTTGACGAAAGTTACTTTTGGAACTGATAAAGGTATTGTAAAACCAGATATTTTATAAGTTGATAAGTTTTGTTTTAAGGCAGAATTTCCCAATTAAGTTAGGACTTATTAAAGGTGAGTCGATGGCTCAGTTGGTAGCGTCACGGACTTCGGGCCCAAGGCAGTGATGTCGTGGGTTCGGATCCTGGTCACTGCCACAAAAACTTATCAGTACAGTTCACCTTCGTGAACTACCTACCGGCTCACCCCTTGATTTGCTGGATACGTTCCACGCACAGATCTGTAGTCTATATGGACGGGCAAATGCAAGGTTAAAAGAGGTCACCAACCTCTTACCTCTTAAAATATATATATATATATATATATATATATATATATATTAAGCATTATACATTCTCTGAATATAAGAATGTGCTACAATGGGCCTTAAGCTTTAAAATGACACCTCAATCGTAAAAATCAACGAAGTAGGTCGGATGAAAATGGACTGTTACAGCTTATTGAATTAAGAAGATGGATAATGTTTTAAACATGACAACGACATATCGCATGCTTTATACTGGATATTAGAAGCTAATGAATAACCGAAGAGCCGTAAATTTACATAAACCAATTAATAAAATCAATTACAACAATGCATCTTGGCCAATACATAGCGTAGCTGACCACGGGGGTAGATGTCCGGGGGTAGATGTCCGGGGGTAGATGTCCGGGGGTAGATGTCCGGGGGCAGATTTCCAGTCGCGGGCTCTGTTTCTCGATCGTGTATAGGCCCCGCCCCTCGTGACGTCAAAATGTCGTAGGCGTTTTTTCATGGGGGTAAATATCCGGGGGTAGAAATCCGCTACCCCTCCACCTCACCCTACCTTTACACAAATAGCGAGGTAACAAGTGAAATATAAAGAAATATTTATTCAACCCGTCAATCTGCTACAGCAGGTGTCTCCATCCTATGGCCCGCGGGCCAGATGCAGAATTTGTTGGCCGGAACAGAATTCATCCGGCCGGCGAAGGCTTATTGGAAAATAATAATTTCTATATAATTGGTATAAATTGATGATCGTCAAACACCCGTAAGTAAATGTTTCAGTCTTGGTAATAACCTGATTGTCATTCACGATCGCGGCAACTTGGCGATATCGTGGTCGTCACTCAAGGTAGCGGCAACACCCGCAAAGTAAATGTTGCAGTCTCGGTGATAACGTGATCATCATTCACGATCGCGGCAACTCGGCGATACCATGGTCGTCAATCATGGTAGCGGCAACACCTGCAAAGTAAATGTTGCAGTCTTGCTAATAACGTGATCATCATTCACAATCGCGGAAACTCGGCGATACCATGGTTGTCAATCATGGTAGCGGCAACCCCCGCAAAGTAAATGTTGCAGTCTCGGTGATAACGTGATCATCATTAGCGATCGCATCAACTCGGCGATACCATGGTCGTCAATCACGGTAGGGGCAACACCCGTAATTAAATGTTGCAGTCTTGGTGATAATGTGATCATTATTATCGATCGCAGCAACTCGGCAATACCATGGTCGTCAATCACGGTAGGGGCAACACCCGTAATTAAATGTTGCAGTCTTGGTAATAATGTGATCGTCATTCACGATCGCGTCAACACTCAAATATAAATGTTTCTGTCTCAGTAATAACGTGATCGATTGTGGCAACGTCTGTAAGTAAATATTGTGCTTTCATTAATAACACGATTGTCATTCGCGATCGCCGCAACACTCACGAGCATTTTTGTGGTCTCGTGAACATCTCTTGCGGTATCAGTAAAATTTCTTAGATGGTGTCCAGTGATCGTGATTTATTTGTGACAAAGTATACGACAAACACCGTTTATATATCCCATAAATACGAGTAATTATGTCAGGTAGGTAAATTATTTTGTTTGGTCGCAGTATCATTTGCAAAAGCGTACAGAATTTTACCTAGTCAAAAGGTTAAATAGTAATAAAAAAATCAGCAAGAAATTTAAAAACTTTATCAATGGGCTCTCAATGGGGGTGACAGACGGCCCAGAAGAAGTACTGGAGAGCCTTTTGAGCGCTCACTTCCCAGGATCCTTGCAACCGCAGAGCACAGTCCAGGAGGAGATAGAAAGAGAGACTAGAGTGCGGACAGCAAGGGAAGATTGGGCTTGCGCTAGGGCTGTGATTACCTTTAACGGTATTAAATGGGCACTTAGGGCATTTCAACCAATTAAAGCTCCTTGTACCGATGGCATCTATCCTGGGTTTTTGCAGGAAGGTGGGGACCAGTTTATACTCCCCTTGGTGCGTCTTTTCAGGACCAGCTTAGCCAGTAGAGTTATACCAACAGCATGGAGGACCTCAAGGGTGGTATTCATACCGAATCCTGGAAGGGACACATATGCTGTGCCCAAGGCTTTCAGACCAATCAGCCTTACATTGTTTCTCCTGAAAACCATGGAGAAATTAGTGGATAGATGAATAAAGGATAGGGTCCTGGTAAGCCGTCCTTTGCATCCGAACCAACATGCCTATCAGAAGGGAAAGTCATGCGAAACAGCCCTGCATGCGCTGGTTAGCAAGATTGAAAGTGCTATCTTGAATAAGGAAATAGCGGTGGCTGCATTTCTTGATATAGAAGGAGCTTAGACAACACTAGTACTCGCTCTATTGTATCAAAGCTGGTGTCAAGAAACGTGGAAAGCACTGTAGTGAGGTGGATAGGCAACATGCTCGATAGTAGGAGAGCGCAAGCTTCTCTGTGTGGGACGGTGAGAGAGGTCAAGGCCCAAAGAGGGTGTCCACAGGGTGGCGTCTTGTCATCAAATCTGTGGAACCTGGTGGTCGACGATCTCCTGTCCGAGCTCAATGCACAGGGCATGTACGCTCAAGGATATGCTGACGATATTGTTGTACTAATAAGAGGAAAATTTATGAACACTTGCCTGGAACTCATGCAGAGGGCATTGTCCATAGTGGAGAGGTGGTGTAACCAGGAAGGTCTGACGGTCAATCCAATGAAGACTGTAATGGTACCATTTACAAGGAAGAGAAATGTTGATATCGCTAGAGTACCAACTCTCTTCGTTAATCAGATCCAGGTTAAGAGGGAGTTCAAGTACCTAGGAATAAGGCTGGACGACAAGCTCACCTGGAACAGCCATTTGGCACATAAAACGCAACGCTCTCAGACCACACTTATGAGGATGAGACGGGCTGTTGGAAAGACCTGGGGTCTAAGCCCACAAATGACTAACTGGCTATACACTAGGGTTGCAAGACCGATGATGGTGTATGGCTCAGGGGTCTGGTGGACCAAGGTAATGCAAACTACCGCTGTAAAGAGACTACAAAAGATCCAGCGAGTGGCATGCCTTAGCATCACAGGAGCCATGAGAGGCACTCCAACTGCAGCCCTGGAAGTAGTGCTAAGCCTACCACCTCTCGACATCATTGTGAAAGGAGAGGCAAGGATGGCAGCCTACAGAATGGCTTGCAGTGGCAACTGGAAGTATAATGCCTCCAGTGAGCACACAAGAATTGTAGACAAGGTGCAGATGAACACCTTGGAAATGCTACCAGACAGGATGGTGAAGATCACAGATCTAGAAAAACCATACAATGTCAACATTGTTGACAGGGATGCCTGGGACAAGGGTGAACCTGAATACATGAAAAGGGGGATCACTTGGTATACGGATGGCTCGAAAAAGCCAATGGTCACGGGGGCTGGAATATATGGAGTCAGACCCAAGGCGCAGTTCTGCGTAAGCCTGGGAAAAATGGCCACTGTATTCCAGGCAGAAGTTGTTGCCCTGTCTGAGTGTGCGAGAGTGTGTTTGAAGCGCGGTCTTATAGGCCACCCTGTATACATGAACTCAGACAGCAAAGCAGCACTAATGGCACTTGACAGTTTTGACTTTACCTCCAAGGCTGTATGGGAGCTATTTCCACAAACAAGTCAAAATATATGATGAATTTAATAAGCCAAATTTTAGCAAAACATATCCGTAAACAAGCAAACTACAATAGCAATTTTCTTTTTCTCCGTAAGAATATAATTTGTTAACATTTTTATTTAAATTACCCCGGTAACCTTTTTTAGTAGGACAACAATGCTTCGGTGTACAAATTTATTTGTCTATTTAATCTCTACACAACGGCTGTATAATTGGGCGTTATGTTTTAAGGGTAAAAATTTGAAAAAAACAATTTTCAAAACTTAAAAAAAAACCATAACACATCATTCTAATGACCTGATCTTGCTGGTTCACAAACTCGTTTAAGGTGCATTGTCCCTGAAGCGACTCTTGCGATAGTAGCTGAGCGATTGTAGCTCAGCGATAGTAGCTCCGCGATAGTAGCTAACCATGTCATTGTCCCTGAAGCGATTGTTCTAGAGCGATTCTGTTCAGTTTGCTGACTTCTGAGTGAATTGGTGCCATAAGTTCAAGGCAGAAGAAGTTGTTCCTTAAATACCTATTGGTTGAGGAAGTTGACGACGAAGAAGTGATAGCATTTTATTTGCACCACGAGTTGGTACACACGACATTTTTGTAAAAATACAAAGAATGCAAAACTGCTTTTTACCGCTGTAGAAGATGAAAAGTTGTTAGAAGCAATAGAACCTCATTCTGCCATTTACGACTTGAAGAACAGTCTGTATAAAGATCAGCTTGCTAAAGATAATATATGGAGCATGATAGCATCAGACGTGGGAAGATCAGGTATGTACATAATTAATCACTACTATTATAAATTATAAATAAAAATACTTTTTTAAAATGCCACGTTTTTAAACGCACTAAAAAGTAAAAATGATTTATAATTATGTGGAGAGAATAAATACTTGTAAGATTTAAAACGAAAAACGTGGGGTGCATGCAATAGATAATAATAGTTCAATAGGTGAAGTTAATTGTAAATTGGTATTCGCCCCACGTTTTTGTTGTAAATCTTACAGGTATTTATGCTCTTCACATATTTATACATTATTTTGTTGAATTTTTTAAAAGTAGTTTTATTTATGATTTATAATAGTAGTAATTAATTATGTACATACAGTACCTGATCTTCCCACGTCTGATGCTATCACGACCCATATATTATCTTTAGCACGCTGATCTTTATACAGACTGTTCTTCAAGTCGTAAATGGCAGAATGCGGTGCTATTGCTTCTATAAGCAATACAGCTTTTCATCTTCTTCAGCGGTAAAAAGCAGTTTTGCATTCTTTGAAGACATTTCGATTACGACCAAAACAAGTCTACACACAACACAAATCGCTCAGCGACTGCGACTCTGACTGCCCTCAGAGCAGACCCGCTACAGTCGCTATGTTCAGCCGCTAGCCGCTCCAGTCGCAGTCGCGTCAAGGACAATGGTCCCATTTGAAACAACGCTAACCAGTGCCCAGCTACTATCGCTGAGCTACTATCGCTCAGCTACTATCGCAAGAGTCGCTTCAGGGACAATGCACCTTTAACCTTCCCTACACACTCATGCCAAATTTCATGAAAATTGGACCAGAATTACTTGATTTATCGTGTTCACTCACTCACATATAAAAATTTGAACAAACTGTATTTTTGGCCTCTGTGGACATCAACATGAAAAAGTAAGGCCCCGTCCTAGCTGGATGGCAAGAGCGGCGCGACCGACAAGAGTGACAGATACAAACACATGGTAAAGTAATGGGAGTGTCCTATCTGAGCAGCAACAGCGGCGTCGCTTCTGTCGGTCGCACTACAAGCGCTTCAAGCATTCAAACATGTTTATATTTGGTAGCGCTACACCAGCGACGCGACAGAGCGGCATTCACCACAGCTGCCTCAGTCCATGTTGCATGCCTTGTCGCGCCGCTCAGTGTGGACACACATTTTGTCGCTGACAGCAGCGACTGTTGGTCGCGTCGGTCATGTCGCTGTTGTCGCCCAGCTAGGACGGGTCACAAGTCTAGGTCTTACTATGCCACCTATGTGCAACCTTATCTACTTCTTTACATGGGTAGAGAAAAAAGTATTGTCATGCATTCTTACAAGGTCTAATTACTGTAATGTTTATGTTGTTTTCAGCCTTAGAGAAACAGAAGGAGGAGAAGGTGTCATCGGTGGAGGGAAGAATGGTGTCAATACAACATTCAGCATTGTCCAAGAGGTTCCAGACAGCAATGGCGGACTACCAAGGAGCTCTGGCCCATCATAAGGATCAAACAGAGGCGCGGATCAAAGCTCAACTCAGGATAGGTAGAGAAAAAGCTGTTTGTTCCAAAGGGAAGCATCTGCAACTATTGAAAGGAAATAAGAAGATAGATACCTAAAAAAGCTAAATACAACACTCAATTACTAACTCGAGACCAAATTAATTAACTGACTCTATAACACTGACTACAATAAAAATAAGTAGGTATTGTAAAAACCTTCTGGTATTAAACGTTATAAATTACTGTACGGGAGTAAATATGCGTATATGGGTATTTATTTTGTACCTATACAGTACAAAATAAAACATAGGAAATTTGTAGGAAATTCAGCTCTGGTGCTATAGTGTGGGATAATCTACATAGCCAGGTGTAACATAAATTAACAGGCCTAAAATTTTTTGGCGGCACAGGATTTGTTATTACTCTTGTTCCAACGAAGTATACTCCATACAGCAGTAGTTCCTATTGCGATACCACCGATCTTTCGATACCGTATCATAATTGCAATATTTATACCACTGACTAACATATCGCAAGGAAAGTATCAATACATTAAATGAGACCCTACAGTCAAATAATTTTTGTTTTGCTCTTATAGTAAAGAATAATTTAAAATTATACAAAATATTACTAATTCAATAAAATTTTATGACTGCCATATATATCATTGACTCTTTGATTTTTTAAGGTTTTTATAAATGATATTGCACTGCCCTAATACCCTTTATCTGTTGTGTTTATTGTTATAGATTAAATCTGATGTCTACAGTATGCATTTCAATAACTTTTGTGAGGCGATAAGTTTTTTTATTAAAATTAAATACCCCCGCCGCAGCAAACCTGCAGACGAAATGAATTTCCATTTGCCTGATTTGATTATACAATTTAAATAACAGTTTAATGAATACCTAGGTTTGCTGCTACAGGGAGGGTAAAAAGGGTGTTTTTAGTAAAATATAATAGCTTAGTGTAAAACAAGTAAATTTGCCTAGTTTGATCAAAATATATCCATAAAAGAGCAACAGTTTACCTATTCTCAATAAGAATAACATGGGAATTTTAAATTTACAATTTTTTTTAATTTTCTCCGTAACCAAATATTGTACAAAAAAACTTCAACATACTAAATTATTTGTTTTTTAAGCTCTACAAAATGGTTTGGAAATAAATTGAGAAATTTTATGTTTTTAGGGTAAAAAATGGGAAAAATCAATTTTTACCCCATAAAATCTCCCATTAAACGCCGTTACCATGGTCCAATCTTGCTGGTTCGCGAACTCATTCAAGTTTATCTCGCCATACACCATCAAGCCAAATTTAATCAGACAAAAAATACAAAAGTTATTGCGTTTACAGACACATATATACAGAGTGTCCCGGAACTCTCTACCAATATATTTAGGGCATTGCACCTGGTTAAGAAACATACCTAAATAACATATTTAAATTGTCCGGAAGTCCATAGTTACTCACACAGCCGCCATTTTGTTTTTTTCAGTTATTAATTTTTTTCTAAAGAATGGTTAAACATACGAAATGGAAACTTTGCACAAACATTTATGTCAACTAGACAAAGCTACCAAAAAATTATGAAGATTTTTCAAATTCATAAAACAAAATGGCGGCTATTTAAAATATTTGTAAAATCAACGGTTTTCAAGTTATTTAAGAAACGAAATTTTAAATAGCCGCCATTTTGTTTTATGAATTTGAAAAATTATGACAACTGTTGTCATAAATGTTTGTGCAAAGTTTCCATTTCGTATGTTTAACCATTCTTTCGAAAAAAATTAATAACAGAAAAAACAAAATGGCGGCTGCGTGAGTAACTAAGGACTTCCGGACAATTTAAATATTATATTTAGGTATGTTTCTTACCCAGGAGCAATGCCCTAAAATATTGGTCGAGAGTTCCGGGACACCCTGTATATATATGATAAATATACATATAAAAAATGTTTAATTAATAGTGTGTTTTTGGCCTCTAGGGACATAAAAATTAAAAAGTAAATCGGTCTTGGGCCTAGGTCTTACCGTGCCACCTACGGAGATAGCTACTATAGAGAAATTTGCTAAAATAAATAAATGATGTGACAATAATGTCACAGCTCCTCATGCAAAACTAAATATTTTTTTTCTTAAATTTATAATGCTTTGTAAAGCTAAGTAAGCACTGATCCTAATTAGAGAAGTATTTAACATTAACGTATGCCAAAGAAAACCGATGACGTGGAAGGATCTAATTGCACACAATGATAGTGACTGATTTATACTCCACTCTAAATTATAAATTAAAGTAGGTTTGAATTTACTAGTCGTATTTTGTTTAATAATCGAGCTCTTAAAAGAAATCATATTTCCATTGATTTCGTAATAAAGAAGTGTTTAAGAGAAAAACTACATTTTTATATGATATTGCATACTTTCTTTCGGTACCAATACTTCATATGTATTTTCTTTTGATACCAATGAAGTATTGCTTTATTCGATACCGAGACCAATAACAACACTGGTATTAAAAGCAAAGTATCGCAAGATCCCTAGTTCTTATAGGCCTTAATCACAGCCACCTTTAACTCATACAGACCGCGGCAATCGTAGTGGTCACGTCGCAAGTAGTGTTGTTACAGCTGTTTTGTTTGGATGCAGCTAATGGTCGTGGTTTTTATGTATTTTTTTTAGAATACGAATGCTTGGTTACTGGGCTATGCAAATATTGAATCCATTTTAAAATGTGCAGAAATAAATATTTACAATTTGTATTGCTTTGGTTTTCAGTTCTATATATGTTTTATTAACAATCTTTTAATAAATTTATGTTCATAAATTTAAATAAATAATAAGTGAATTAATGAGCTGTCACGTGTCTGCCATTTTATCTTATGGGACGCCTGGTGCTTAACAACACTACTTGCGACGTTGCCAAATCTATCAGGCCGCAGCCAGGAGTATTAGGTGGCCGTGACTTAACAGTCTCATTGGTAAGGTGAATTTTGCCATTGCAGCATCCTAATTAAAGAAAGTTTGTTATAAACAGAGCTTGAATAAAAATAACACTCAACAGTTCTAAGATATGTCTTGATATCTGATGATTCCTGTCCAAGTCCATCTTCATGGTGAATTTGTTAGGTAAAAATTAGACTGGGGTAGAAGTACATTTATTTCTAGTGTACAGTAAATACATATTATGAGTTTGCAGTGAATTACTGTACCTTCTTTTCTTAAATATCATGCCTATTCATGCTTAAATCTTTTATTTTGAATAGGATATAGATATTTTTCATACTTATCCTTCAATGACTGATTGCTGCATGCACTGAGTCTGTATCTTTGCATGGTCAAGGTCAACTAAATGGCCAGGGATGTGAACATCTAAGATAAATATCGCGTTTGTGTACATAAGTTGGTTCCTAACCCATTGACACAGGATTTTTTTTTGGATTCCCCTATTAACTAGGATTGCTTTTATAGCATTGAAAGCTAGATAATTACGTTTCATGGTCTTTAATAAAGCAATAAATAATAAAATGTTTATAGATATAAAAAGTCCCCTGAGGGCTGAAACTGCAGTAGTGTAATACTACTCCAAGGATCACCTGACAGTTAAGGTATTTAAACCATTTTTAATTAACTTATCTGTTTTGCTCAGAACTATCAACATCGATGAAACGTTTCTTGAGTAAAGATGTGGACATTATACATATATGCTTGTATCAATATTTTTCCAGTGTTTGCTTGCTAATGTCATCTGGTGAACCCACAGTTCTGGTTGAACCCGACCTTGAACCTAAACCAATCTACATTTTCTCAATCTTGGCCAGATTTTGCAATTCAATCAGAAATAATCCTGCATGGATCCATTAGCAGATCCCTAGTAGCACAAATATGTATTTTATAAATATTTTATATATTCAAAGTTGTATTTGATAGAACCTCGAATAAAATATATAAATAATATATCACTTTAAAAATAGTTTGATATATTCAAATATATATTTAAAATATTACCAAAAGCATTGCAAAATATCAATTAAATATAAGTTTTGAAATAAAAATAGATTCATAATATATATTGATAAAATAAGTATAGAATCTATAATATACTTATTTTATATGTATATTTTTCCTATTAAATATTTAAAAAAATTATGTGTTGAGAATATTTTAAATATATATATAAAATATTTTTGAAACTATATTATATATTTTAAGTATTTATAAATATATTTAGAAACACGTCAGATATTTTTATTAATAAAATAATAATATATTTGTAGAATATATAATACAATCTATTATAATTGACTAATAAATAATTTGCATCTTTTTGTTTTGTATAGTGTCTATCATATGATAATTGCTATTGTGAAAGTGTTAAAATTAAGCAAATAATAATACATACTCTGAATGGTGTCACTCTATCATGCACGTAAAGAAAAAATTACGCATATAGTTAAGAGGCAGTATGTTAGACAGCAACATGAGTCAAAGGAAAAAAGTGTTGATGGGTTTTATTTTTAATTGCAATATGTGGCAATGAATGTGATCATAGAAGTCTCAAATGGTTGGCTAGAAAAGGGTGCTAGTGACTGGCGACCTTTTAAAAAACTAATTACGGTTGTATAACACCGTAATTATTTGATTTACTTATGTCATAAATTACATAATATTTGTCATAGTATTAAATTAATTTTTGTAGTTTATTGTATTTGAATTCGTGGGGACTACCCACTATTCACTAAAGCACTATTCACCTTCTTGATGCCAAAACAGATTAACAGAATCATATTATACTGTAGTATCAAAAATATTTTAAGTATTGCAACTATTGCAACTGTCGGCTACTCTTTTACCATTTGAAAACTAAGACTAACAACTGTGAACTGTCACAGATAGCTCAGAGGTAAGATACGAGGCTCACAAGTGGAAGGACCCAGGTTTGGGACCCGTCAGGGTTAAACAAATTTTATCTAGTTTTTTTTTCAAAATTTGTTTTTATGAACTATTTAATCAATTTAATCAACTGATAATTGTGCTTTTCAT